ATATAGTACAATATATTGATGTGTTATTAAAAGTGAATAAAAAAATAATATAATTTTTGTTTTGTAATTTTTAAATAATACTGTACCTCAAAGTTAGATTATTATTTTTAAGTTCATCAATCCATTTTATTAAATAATTGACTAAAATGTCTGTTTAGATTAAAACACTTGAAAGATAGATTTTAAAGGTATTTTTGTGATGGAAGACGCTATTTGCGAGCGAAGCGAGCGGCTTTGGTAGAGGTAAAAATGTTAAATGTATGTTATCAATAAGGCCAACACTTGTATGCATTTGCATATTTTTATTGGTTGGTCAAAAAAATAGCTAGTTTATACCAAAATGTGTTTTATAACCTAACGATGCTGTATACAAAATTTTATTTCGCATATTTTTGCATATTATGGTATTTTTGCATTTTTAGGGCATATTTTAACATTTAGTATATTTTTGGAGCATATTTAAGATCTTAAAAACTCGGGAATTACAAAATATTAATTTTTTTCACTCATATACCTTATTATTGGTATTTCAGCACATTTATGAAAAGTGGTAATCTAATCTTAATCGCTAATTATTAGGGTCAACAATTATATGTCCGTATATCGGTAACAGTATCGCATAGAGATAAATATCATATTATATTTTATCGCACCTATTACAGTCGTCAGTCGGTCTTTATACTCGTGTGGTGCGTTATTAAATCGACCGTTTTAAAATGCCGAAAGTAAGAACTTCCAACACTAGTCGTATCAATAGTTACATCTCTGAATTTGGAGAAAATATATTTTCTTCGGATGGGAATATATTGTTTTGTAAAATATGTGAGGCAAAGGTTACATGTGAAAAACAATTTACAGTTTTACAACATCTTAAAACGTCTAAGCACTCACGTGGTATTCAACGACTCGGCGACCAACAACAAAAGACTCAACAACTTTTACCTACTACATCAAAAATTAATTCTTTCAATAAAGATTTGTGCAAAACGTTGTTAGCAGCCAATATACCATTAAATAAATTACAAAATACCTATTTTCGTTAATTTTAATTTTTTAATTTTAAATATTTTTTAATATCACACATTTTTGTGAATCATTATTCATTGGCAATAAATAATAATATTGTATTATTATAGTATAAATTGTATAATACATAAAAAAAAAAAAAATCATTTAATCATTTTTTTACAATAACATTTTTTTTAGAGCATATTTTAAGGGCATATTTTGGTAATTTTTAGGGCATAACTGCATACATATTTTATAGATTTTTAGGGCATATAATTGTTGGCCCTAGTTATCAATATTTACAGATTTAACAGGTAGGTGGGTGGCTATTGATTTAACTATTTGAACCATATATTTCATAGGAGTTGTGCGCCACTGCTCAGAACACAATACATTTTGCATTCAAATCTGGGATATAATAATGATAAAAAGCAGACAAGTAGGTAACGCTCTATTGTACATAGTACATTATACTATTATAGGTGTCTAGAGAAGTCACTGTAATAGATGCGTTAAATTTGAATTCAATGATACAAAATCATTGTTTACGAAAAACGGTTTTGAACGAAGGCGGAATGTCATCTGCCTATATAATATTACTAAGTATATTTTATGAATTTATGAAATAATTGTGATTTAAGTAATTTACTTTACTATGAACCAAAAGAAAATGTCATTATGTGTACACAATATATTAGTATAATAAAATACCTACTTTAAATGTTAAAAGATTGAAATAGATACCCTGCACGAATTTGTACACACATAATTTCGTCTAAATTTGAACTTAAAGTGTCCATAAAAAAACTGTGTGTATTTATTTTTTTAGATTTTTTGGTTACAGTATGAACTATTTATTAGAATCTTTATTTAAATTTTCAATTCTTAGCTATATATGTTAATATTGAACACTATAAATTTTTAACTACAAAAAAATATAATCACATTTTCCAGATTTTAATGAATTTTGAACTTTAAATACTTATTCAAAAATATCGTGAATATGTATTTTTAAAATTGCTAAGCTGCTGTTGTAACAATGTGTGAGGACTGAGGACTCTTGTATTTTCATGTTTTTTGACGACTAAAATTGTATTGACACTCATAGAAAAAAACAGACACATAGGTATACAAAATAAAAAAATAAAACACGTCATTGTAAAATCAATCATTCATCGCTTAGAATCTAATATAATATTGTCAGTCAGTACCTATAAGACAAATTTAGAGCTCACTTATAGAAATTAGTGGAAATAATAATAAATTATTTATATTTATAATGATAAAATCGTATAGTCAGTCAGACAGTTATAAAAAAAGCTACTCGGTTGGCTTGCAAAGAATATAAATATAAATTTCTGAAAAATATTCCAGTACCTAGGTATTATTAATATAATTACCTATTTGTATTGTTTATTATAGCTAAAATCCTGCAGTACATCGATCAAAGCATAATGTCAAATTCAGTGCCGGATTTAACCATTGTGCCGCCGCTTTAAGCACTTTATAATTTGCCGCTTTTTAATATAAATATTTTTCTAGTCTAAAAAATGTTATTAAAGCATACAATTATAGTTGTTTATTTCTTACTTAAAATTTTAATGATGAAAAATAAAAACAAACAACTCTACGATTATAAAATTGGAAAACATAAAATATAAATATTACTACAATCCCGTTGGTCTAAAAACATTTTATAATTAGTTTCATTTTATTTTAGTTGTAGTTACATATTATAGTAAAAATGTAATATTAAAAATTATTCGCCGCCCTAAGCACTAGCTTATAGTGTTTACTCGGAAATACGGCACTGGTCAAATACATCAAAGCATAGGTACTTTATAATATTATCGATTATAGATAACCACAGACCACAGTGCACAGACCATTTAATAATATATGATATGCATTATCCATAAATATATTGTAGGTATAAATCCACATTATACAGATGTATAATTTTATTAACTTAAAAGTTATTTCAGTAGAAAAGTGTTTTGTGAGTCGAATGAAGACAGTGCAGTTTTATTTGATTACGATAATATATATAATAATAATAAATTTTAATTAGGCACATTTCTGTTTCAAATTAAAGGATAAGATACCTACAACTATAGACTATAGTTATATACTTCTATAAAGGTACAATAAGTCAATTATGTCATAAATATTGATCAAAGTTCAACATTTTTTTTTATGTCATTTTAGTCTATGACAATAACAGCACATTTACGATATACATACTAAACAATAACTTATATAAGTCAGGGTTTTAGTAGATTCACAAAGTTGTTTAGTTATATCATATATAACATATAAATGTAGAATATACTATATATGTATTATATATTAATTGTAAATTGTCATTTGTATTAGGTTGTAAGTACCTAATTACTTTTTATTTATACTTAAATTTTTTCTAATAAACTAAGTTCCTATCAAAGAGAGATAATTATTATTTGGGAATCTACAGCCCTACTTAAATAATGATAATAATCTACCAGCTACCTATAATTCACACATTTTAGATTTTGAGCGGAGTATTTTTGTCTGTGCCAGACAATAAGTAATCGAAATAATGCTTTGATTTTCAACTTCTGTATCTTTTCTGATGGGGAAGTGAATCTAGTTAATATTTTTAAAAGTTAAAATTGAAAATGTTTTATGAAGTTATTATACTTAGTGGCTAGTTTCCAAAAGCATCAGGAAAAATTGATGTAACTAAAAAAAATTATTGTTACATGAAGTTTTCAGAGAATATTTATACTGGCATTTCCTATACACCATAAAATGCTCTAATTATTTTGACTCTTTTATAGATAAGTATAGGAACATTTTTAGTTGATTACTTTTCTTTTAAACTATTGTCGATTACAATGTTACCAAAAAGAGATTTGATATAGATACAAACCGTTTTTAAGGAGTTTGATTTAGGCAATTGCCCAAATACGAGTCGTCTCATAGTACTATTATAGGTATAGTGGAGTATATATATTATATTATAGGTAAGGATTATTATAAATTGTTTATATTTAAAGCCCCGTTGCATTATTGCCTGTTGTATACTCATCGACAGACGGCAATATTATGTGTTTGGTTAATCTGAGTATTTGTTGTAACTTCAGCCTTCAGGAAGAAATTATGCAATTCATATTTCATTAGAGGAAGGTATTATAAAAATATAAATCATCCTTGAATGATAAGATATACCATACATATCTAATAAAGGCTTGTTGGATATTATGTTAACACCGATTATATCTAATGCATTGGATTTTTTACCGCATTCCATCTAACTCCAAATGCCAAAGCCTTGCCAAGAGGGTTGCAAATTGAGCGACTGCCCTATGCGGCAAAAGTTTTAATATTTTAAATTGTGGCAAATGTTTAAATATGTAGTTAAGTTTATTAAGGATGCCAAATATTATTGTCCTGTAGCGCCAATGAAAGTTAGCTCAACACTGCTAAAGGTAGTCAACTAAAAGTGTAGGTAACTGAGTACTCAATGTAAAATAAAAATGTACCCTATAATTAAGCAGTGAATAAATCCAAAATCTCATGATTCGTTAAGTATTTACGATGTGTTCAGTCTTCCTCTGTACTTCGTACAAATGTAGAATCTACGATTTACATTGACGAACGATAATAATCAATTATAATATTACTAACGTTTTAACATCCTTCAAATGACGTGCTTGGCACACAGATATAATATTAAATTATCTATTGGTATTTTTATTTTTCATGATAATATACCACCTATTCAGTATTCTGGTGTGTTCTTTCTGACATTTTAAAATTTTATACTAATTAATTTACGAATTTACAATTACCTATAATTTCGATTTGGGCAGTAATGTCGTAAAGCAATAGCACGGACTTGGTAGTTATAGATAAGGTTATACTTAGTATAGCCATAGATAATACATGACGTTATGTATTATCTATGAGTATAGCAACGTTATCTCCGTTGACAATATTATTATTTTATTATTTCTTATCAACATGCGAAGTGACAAGTAAACATAATTATAATAATACAAAATACAAATGCAAATAATGAATTAATAACGCACTCATCCGACGTCGCCAAACGCCAATCGGCATTCCACCATCAGCCGAAACGACCGCCGTTTGTGAAGTTCGAAGAGACTTTGACTGGTAACGACCGAACGGATTGTCTGGTGACTGTTAAGTACGAGTTGGCTGCATTCGCAATTTTCATCAGTCATGTCACGGGAATACTACAATTTGCGATTCGTCGTCACCACACCGACGCTGTCCATCACCGAGTACAACTGCCTGAAAGAACCGTGTAACCAGGTGCGTTTGACCGCTGGAATGCGTTTTTGTTAAAATCATGTATTTACGTATGAACCGTGAACGGTGTGCGACAAGACAACAAAACACAGCACCATTGTAGGCGTTGCTACTCTCTTGTTATTACTCTACGTTCACCCACTTAGTAATATGTTATCACTTGACTATGAGTTTGTCTCTTTTTTATTACATTTTTAATTACCCATGAAAGTTGAGAATGTAAGCCATTTTGGTTTAAGGTTTTCTTTGTTTAAAAATTGAGCAAAAAATTAAAAAACCTAACATTTGGCTTAATCTATTATTTAATCACAAGAACGAATATTGTGTGTCTGCTTATTTCAACAAGTTATTTCAACTGAAATATTTAAAATAAAATAACTTACCATTGGTCTTTTTTTGAAAATTGCATTTTACCCACATGATTATTTATCAATAATTTATAATTATCTACACATCTATATTATTGTAATTTATTAGATTGGATTCCTGATTGGCGATAAAAAGATTAAAATATCAAATGTTATAACTGATGAATCGTTGAACAACACCATCACAGAAGAAACAATATGTAATCAATAGTACTTTATAAATATAGATATTATTGGATACTTGTTCTATAAATTATTATTATTTAATTTTTTATTCCAGGTGTCCATGCTTCATATCCACTACCAGATTTTTATGAACAACTATGTTCAAATCCATTACAAATAGACTACAAAAAATTGAAATACTTCCTACAGAAATGTCCAGCAAATTATGAGGTGAGCAAATAAACTATTTTGTATCTTTGTCTATGTGCCTAGATATGATTTTATGTTAAATTAAATATGCACGTCTACTTTGTTATAGAAATCTATTGTTGGTTGGTACAGATTTCGTAGAAACGCTGTATTATCTCCCAGTATTGCCGATATTCGTTTTCATGCACAACTCAGTAATATTTTTGATAAAATGAGTGTATCAGCAAACAAATTTCTATTTTGCATGTTGAACCATAACTATATTGGTTCCATGGATCATAAATTCAATCATATTTTTTACAGATGTGACATTGGGTAAATACCTACTACAAAACGTAATTAAATACCATAAATACATTGGAAACAAGAATATTATTGTTTCAAGTATATTGTGAATATGTTGTATATTAATTCATTGTGAACATTTTAATTTTAAATAATTGTTTTGTTTTGTTTAGGAAATGCTTAAGCCCAGTTAAAGTTGATATTGTAAATTTGAGTACGAAACCTTTTATTGAAGATGATAATCTTGGATATAAAACAAACATTAATTTAATCGACAACTGCAAAGCATACACAGACACTATAAATAAAGTATTTGGAAATGGGTAAGTCAAGAACTAAATACAATTAAAATGATAGTATATAAATGTGTTATTTCTAGTGAAAAATTGACTTAAAATGAAATTATTGAAAAGTAATCTTACAAGAAACTTATAAAATAACTATTTTGTAAAATACCTGTTCAATCATTAGGCTAATCATAGCATCTGGTAAATTTGTACCATTTTTACTCATTAGTAAAGAACAGACTTCAATGCACTAAAAAGATTTAATATATTATCAGACTATAAAACACGCACTAAAATATTATGATACAAATTTTGCATTTTTTTTGTTTTATTATATAAAATTAAAATTAAATTAAATGTATGCTAAACTGATTAAGCTAAATTTGAGGCGAGGTGCAATTTCAAACACAAATTAAACGTATACAATACAGTTATTAATATCTTATAAGAGGACGTAAATTATAATTGATAATTAATCCTAAATATATTATTCTTGTTACTCACTATTTTGTATAAAAAATATAATAACTAAAGTTCATTTAGGTACAAGACTCCAAGAGTGAATTACAGTTTCAAATTCTCTACGACATTCTCCTAAAATTTAAAAATATAAATTACTAAACTGAAATTTATGTCTCCAGGACTTCAGACTATATTAAATGTACAGAATGTTATGGATATTGTGATCACTAGGGATATTCTCAAATAGATCAAAAAAATTTGCCGAAATATTTATTCAATTGTTAACTTTCAACAGTTATTTTTTAATTTGTGTTATTCTCAAAAGCTTTTTTTGAATGCTCAAATATTGAATATGTGATTTTTGATTGAAATTTCAACTATTGAAATGTTTTTTTATTGCTGATTATTCTATAAGAAAATAGTACTTACTACTGATAAGAATAAATTGGTAACCAATTATAACCAACATAATAAAACTTAAAGTAAATATAGAAAATATTTTGATCTCAAAATGTATTTAGTATTTAAAAAAAAAAATTACAGGTCAGTACTTCGTTAAATTGACGGTCAATCTTTTGAAAAAAATTTAATTAATAACTGTATTTAGCGACACAGCCTGTGATATGTATAAATAATGGAATCTTCTACAAATAACATTAGTTAAGTCTGAAATCTCCAAATTATAAAAAATATAGTATCTTTTTTTCCAAAATTTCTTTGCACACTTGATGCATAATATAATGCTTTCATTAATGGCATTACTGTTCCAGTCAATTCATCAACAAGAATTGTGCTCAATCAATATGTCACCATCAATTTCCTATTAGTTAAAACTGAAACGATAAATTGTATTTAAATAAGAAACTAATACTTAATAATTTAACTACAATAACTAATTATTATTTATAGATAAATCCTTTTACGACCTAATGGATTTCCTTGTAACATACATCTTTGAGGCTAAGTGAACCATTTGTCAAATATATTATTATTATGTTTATTATTTTGCATCATCACATCAATATCATTATTATCCATTTTTACATTCAATAAAATCAAATTGTTTCAAAAAATATTAACCTGATAGAAACTCTTAAATCTAAAATTCCATAAGATTATTTATTACCCAATAATAATAATAATAATAATAATAATAGGAAGTTAATTATGAAAATGATTGATTTCAAAATACCAGTCAAAATTATAAATTAAGTACTATTATCAAAAACTGTTTGAGAATATGAATTTTAAAAATCAACCCAAACTAAATGTGTTTTTGATCATATTTTGATCGAAAACCCTTTTTGATTGATTTGAGAATAGACCCTCAGGACAAACAATGTTTGAACTATGCATGCAATAATGCTATGAAAATTAAAAATAAAGGTCTCAAGTATAAAATAAGCAGTTAAAAGTATAGGATAAAATGGGGAAATATATTATATTTATGGAAATATTATATGATATTAATAATAGTTTAGAATGATTAAAATTATTGAATATTCCTTTTTTTATTTATAAAATATAACAAAATCTACTAAGTAAAACGTTGTATTTAATCTCACCTAGAATATACCTCGCCCACTACAAATCAAAAACCATTGAATATAGTTTTCAATAATCAAATATTTACTGAACGGTCTTATTCTAAATTACAGGAGAGAACAGTGTTCAAAAGTCTCTGTGTACAACATGAGAACTGCGTTGATAGAGGAGATGAATAAAATGGTTAAACGGATAGTAGAGAACGAACAAGAAGTGATCAAACTAAACACATCGATTGAAGAGAAAAAACAAGAGATAGAAAAGAAAAAAAATGCTAAGCTAAGTGTTCCTAAATTATAATGGTTAAATTAGAAAAAAAAATGGATAGGTATGTTTTTTATTTTTTTATTACTACATACTTCCTTTATATGGCTTATGATTTTTTTAAACATTCTTTATTATTATTGTGTACTTTAATGTTTTAATTCTGCAATTTTTGTTATTGAATAAAGTATAAGTTATCTCTATGTATATTTTTTTCAAATTATATTATGAATTTACCTCATAATAATATGCTTAGTATTATAATGAAATAAACTAGGCCTATGCAACTCATAATCCAATAAACACAAATGAGTAGTGCTATTATTGTCAGGTCTCGCTCTAGGTAGTAATTTGTATTGTACGGAATTTACAGAAACACTTGTTTTGCTGTTTAAGTAATTTTAATTTTTCTGTCTTAGGAGGAGTAACATTTATGTGTATTCATTTTTGGGTCAATTTAGTTTTTCGTGACGGGTGAAAGCTGGACAGGTTATGCTAAAACTTCATCCCAATCTGTGGAGTTTAACATTCCAGGAAAGATAGGTCAAGTTTTAAATATGTCTAATGAGATTAAAATAATTTTTTCAAGTTTATAACTAATAATAATAATTATAATGAAAAAATAAAACATTTTAGATAAATGTATAAATTTAATGAATTACATTTTATTCAGTTTAAAACTCTAAATGTAAGTGAAATTAACTAAAAGTATGTTTAAGTATCTGATAAAAAACTTTTCTAAAAATGTTATGTTGAATATTGTTAAATTGTTATGGAAGAAGTACAAATATTGTTTAATAAAAAAACTATTTGTTTAGCTAATTATATGCAACGATAATAGTGTGTATATTTTTGATTACTTTTGCTGTTCTATTACGTTTTATATATTATTTTTTTAACAAATTCTTTTGAAAAATGTGATTGGCATGTCCTATCCCCAATCTTTAAAATTTCGTCTAGAACCACTCCCCAACTTTCCAAACGATTTTGTGTTACACAAAATGTAATTACTCCTGTAGTTTTACAATTACATATACAACAATTTTATGTCATTTTAATAAAAGTGAATAATATATTATAGGTAAACGAAAGAGTATTCAAACAAAACAAAATAAGTAGTTAGTATAATTATACTTTTCTATAATAGTAATAATAATAATAAAATATGAAATGTACAAAATATATAGTATTATTTTATAATACTCTTGTATACTATTATATACTATTATATACTTTTTTTTATGTGTTAAAAGGACAATATCGCGCTAATGCTGATCTGTAGATTTTGGTGGTATTTTACAGTTATAGACTCATAGATTATTACTATGAACAAAAAAATTCCGAAAATGGTCAATAGATCGTTAAAAACCATGTTCTTTATTAAGTTTTTTAAGTTGACAACTAATCATCAAAATAAATAATAATATTATGGTACTTGGGCTGGTAGATAGTGCCACCAGAGTGGAAACCGACAATAAGAGTTTCAAAACTGGGGACAAGTTGCCACACCTAATAATTTAAGACTGTGAAATAAACGTTAATAATATGATTGCATTAATGTGATTCAAAACGCACCGTTTATAATAAGTTTCGTTAAGACAATATTTGGTATATATAATTTTGTGTGCTAATTGATCAACTTTAATTCAGCAAATTGACCAATCCAATGGGACTTGAATATTGAAATTTGAATGTCTTATTATGTTAAATTTGAATTCTGTATTGTTTACTTTTTCAATTTGTTTATTTAACAAAGCATAATTCACTGTGAAATAATTATCATATCCATATGTTTGCATTTCTAAAGTCAAATTTTGATAAGTTTAAGTCCAAATTTGTTTATTGTTAGTAGGATCTAAAGAAGGCAAGGATTAAAATCTTAATCATGAAATTTGATCAATTAGTGCATTGGAATAAAAATACATAATTTTAGCAGAAAAACAGTCTTATTTTGAATCACTCTCTTATGATAATAATAATTGTTCACAAAGTATTTTAAAATACAATATAGATAGGACTACTTATTAACCAAGTTATTGGGATTTGCAACATAATTTTATTTAAATATTGGTATATAAAAAGTATTTATGTTCAAATATGTTTTAAGTGCTGTCCTCAGTGATACCTTTAGTTCAAGGATCCGTCATATATTATTATAATTATATATTGCCATATATAATAAACAATAAATATAATGATTACCTAATTATTAGTTGTTGGTAAGAGGTAAATTTATTGTAGTTGTTATCTTTAAGATTTTATTATAATTGACTTGACACTCCACTTTGAACTTGTGTAACCTATTTTATTAAACGTTATCCCGTGAAGAACTAGAACTTCAGTTTTGAGAAATTCTTAAGATACCTATCCTATATATTCTAGTATTTTGAATGAAACAAATTTGCAAAAAGCTCATAAATACATTTTTAAAAAAATAAACTAAAATTCTTCCTTAACAAGTTTTAAATCATAACTATACAAATAATATGTGCATTATTAATTATGCAAGAGACTCATATTAGTGATTCATCTTTGATACAGGTATTGAAGCACCTTTAATATGTCTGGAACCAAATTTGTTTTCTGAAAAAATATCTGATTTTTCGAGAAAATTATAACAACGTGTTCTTAAGCATTTCTTCAAAATTTTTGATAAAGTATAAGTTATAGTATAAATTAAGGAAATTGGACCGTAGTTTGGATGGTAGTTTGAACAATTTTGTTTTTTACCATGTTTAAAAAGGGGTACAATTAAAGTATTTAAATAATTTAAAGTAAATAAATTTGGGAAGGTTCCAGTTGTTAGAGATCAAATAAAAATATGTACTAATGGAACTAGTGTATAGTCAATTATCTGTTTTAATATATGATTTGATAAATTATAAGTATAGAAAAGGGTACTTTCTTTGCAGCTTAGAATATGGCTTTTAACCTCTTCTTTAGTTCAATAATTAAGGAAAATCGAATTAAAGTTAACTTTAATATTGGATTTATACTTTTTTAACAAGGTTATGGATTTTAATTTGATCTGTAATATTTTTATCGATAATTTAAATCGAAATTTTGAAAATTATTCATACTATATGCCTATGTAAACATACAAATTATGATACAAAAATTGTTTAATGTTTACTAATGAATATTTAGTAATCCCATAATGCCTTTTTTTTTTGGCTACCATTTTTTGTAACACTTCTGCCATTTTGGCCCATGTACCTATGTTTGTGACTGCAATATTTTGTAACTTCTTTAGGGAGCCATAGTAGTTTTTTGTTCTATATATATATTGCATATTGCTGAATATAAATGATTTAAATGCTGGAATTTGGTATTAATAATCATCTGATTAGATTGTCCCGTAAGCATTGGCGTTTGACTTAAACTTTAAGTACAGGCGAGATAAACATCTGTCAACAATTGTACGGCGGGGCCTATGGTTTAGCCTGGCCCCCCAAAATGTTTGTAAGAACCCATTTTTTTTCGATTTACTTAATTTTTGAAATGTCTAATGACTATGTTTTATTACCGGAATGATTGTTGTATAATATATATATATATATATGATACAATAATTACATAAGTGATATTATATAATATTATATGTTACAATACGTTTATATGCATATAGTTTCGTATACTTTGTATGATAGGATGTATGCTATTGTTTTTTTATTGTGTTGTAGGTACTTATCTTAACAATATTATTACGGGGGTATCCGGTAACTTGGTCGAGAACTTATTACGGGCGACCGCGTGTCGATATCAGGTTTACGACGGCGTTTTCCGCCGATAAACAAATGCTGGGTACCTATTATATTGCTAAGTGTTTACGCGTCTTATAAACTGTGTCGGCCGAGATAACTATATTTTTTAAGGTCTTGTAAATTTTTAATTGGCTTTTCGTGCTCCTAGGGAGTAGGGACTCCGTAAAGTATTTATTAAAATATTAAACTGTACGTAATTTTTAGGCACAATTTTTCATTACATGGCCCAGGGACGTAATTTTCGTTACTCAGGGTAAAGAACATTTCAACAAATTGTCATGCAAATTTTTTTGGGGCCTTTGTATTTCATATTGGGGTACCTTAAAAACTGATCCATGGTCCTTTGGTGTGCCAGGCCACTGATCGTGAACACTAAAGTTTCACTTAATCCGGGTGTAATGACTCCACACGACCACACATCAATTTTTTCCTATTGGCTATAATATTATAAGAAAAATACGTTTACCCGGGATAACACTGTAGTCTGTAATGGTACACAAATAAAAAATAAAGTAAATTTAAAAACAAATTAGGTATACTGGAAAATATCAAATATTTTAGTATATTTTTGTCATACAGTGTGTATCTCTATGGTTAGGATTGATAAGCGATATGAAAAGTCGATAGTTTTCATACAATCTAACTTTAGATTATTTAACTATACCATTGATTTTATAATACATATTTTATATTATAAAAATCAACGACCATACCTGTAGCGTGGGCTTGTAATGCATTTAAAGTGTTCAATGTATATGTCTATGGAAATTAATAATAATAGGTACCTAAGTAAGTGCAAAAACCGATAATGTTATGTTTTTATTTTAAATCGTGATTATTGGTTATGTCTTATTTTTTATTGTCTGGTACCTACTTGTTACACCAATGGACAACAGTTGAAGTAAGTTTATCTCCGTTAGTTTAAAAATTAGAGTGAGTAGACCTATTATAAAACTTTATAGTAAGAACATTATCTGTGTTTGTATGTGGGCTTTTACGATAAATTATTTAGCAATAGTTATACGTACGTACCTATATTAATATAGTGTAAATTAAAAGTGCTCATAACTCACTAAGATATTGGATTATCGTAAAAAAATCACGTACAAACATTGCAGTCACACAGATATAGTAATTGCTCTCACCACCAAGTTTCATAATAGATAAATTTACAATAATTTCTAACCCAATTGAACCCAAAGTGATCTGCTGAACTTAATTTTTATATGTTACGCAATTTTAAGATGGAGACAACAAATGGTTGTGTGCAATATTTGTTTTCTCTATATCTTTCATACCC